AAATAAAAAAGAAAGAAGAAAGAAAGAAAGAAAGAAAGAAAGAAAGAAAGATGCATGGAATGTTGTCCCTAGAAAGCAGTCCGATCAGCATTACTAAACATAACAAAATGTAAGTCTATACTTTTAGGCACATGCAGCTAGAAATCATTCAAACAACAATTATAAAGTCCAAAAAGACTTTTAAAACAAAGCTGAAAATCTGACTCCAGCAACAGAGGCGCTTTAAAAAAAATAAGGCAAGAGCAAAAGGAAGCTTCTAAAGGAAGATTCAAAAAGGAGCTTCAAAAAAGTATGGAATGTAAAGCAGCAGCCACAGTGACATGAATTCTAGTTTCAATTGACTCTTTGACATCTACTCCTTTATCACTTGCCATACAGTACTTCTATAAACATAACCTGTTGGGTGACAAAGATAAATCCTTAGACAATGTCTCAGATACGAGCAGGTTATACTGAAATGTATGCCTAGCTACAGGTAAAGGTATTTATGAGGTCCCTATAATTCACTTACTTACAAAATGAGGAACATCTATGAATGTTAACCCTCATGTCTCCAATCTCCACCTACTTTGTTGTTCTACTTTAGACCATAGCTTTATTTTGTGATTACACTTATATTAACTTTATATATACTAATTTTAAAAACGACTGGTATCTCCCTAACAAAAAATATATTCAAAATACCTTTTCCTTAATTTGCTGCCTATGCACATGAGAGATCAAAACTGCTTCTCTTCAATTTGCATGCCTGTCCCATTGGAAAAACCACACCAGATTATACTTTTTAATGTATATATAAGAAAAATATACACATTATACATAATATACTCTGACATAAGAAAATCATATGTACCATAACGCTGAATTCTGTCTAGTCCATGTTCTCTTCACATTCATCATATGACTGAACATGGCACAACACACACAATAATGGCCAAAAATTATGGGGTGCATACTTTTTTATCTGTAACTGACAGAAGTGTGAACCTTTGACAGTGCCTTGTGTGGAAAGGAAATGTTTGCTTGCATGCAGTTTGGTGGGATTGGGCAGGCCCACTATTGTCAACCTTCAGCTCTCCAGCTGTTTTGGACTTCTGCTTCCAGATGCTGGCCAGCAGCCCAGGATTTTGTGCCCTGGCAGTGGTCAAGAACTGTGGCCACTGTAGTCCAATCTCTCCGGTGGGCTGAACGCTTGGAACCACTTCTGTGGCTGTATTATTTGTGGTGTTCTTTAAAAACATACTGTACACTGTTTGGAAGGCAGTCTTTCAATTAAAGTAAGCAGTGCATTTAATTATGACATAAAAATGAACGGTCTTTAGGTTCTCCATCCATAAGGGGAAAATTAATTGTTCCTTAAAAATTAATGCTTTAGGCCTTGGCGCAGTAAGCGATTAAAGCAGACAGCAGAAAGTGCCTCGGTGTGGAGAGAGACCGATCCTGAGCCCAGCAAGGCAAGTTTATTTGGACACAACCTTGTTTCATCTGGGATCCGATGCAGGAGGACGATCCAGTCCGGGGATACCTTTTCCGAAGACCTCGTTACAAACAGATCGCGGGAAAAATAGAGACAAGGGGGGGGGGACGATCTGGGCAGCAGTCCTCCTTACCCCCGAGGGACTCTGAACAAGCTTACCTAGGACCAGGCGGGCCACGTCGGAGGGCAGTAACATGGTGTGAGGGGGGGGCTGATCCCCCCCAGTGGGTCGCAGGCAGCGCAGGCGGCGATTTCCCCCTCTCCTCCCCAAAAAAAGGCGATTCTTTCTCCCCCCCCGACCGACCGACCCCTCGACCGCTCTCACGCGGAGCGACTCCAGAAAGGCGCCTAAAACCTCCTCTCAGCCTCGACGCCCGCCCAAAACCCTTTCCGCTCACAGGAACGTCAACAAGCTCTTTTCCGCTTCCGGTTGGGGGGCGGAGCGCAAAAAAAGAAAAGTAAAAGCGGTTCCTTGCCCTCCTCCTCCTCCTCCTCCTCTTCTTCTTCCCTCCCCCGCCGCCGCGTGGCTTTTGCAGCTGCGCCCATTGAAGCCGCCCTCCGCGACGGTCAGGATGGGGGAACCGAGGGAAGGAGGAGGAGGAGGCGGCGGCGGCGCGCGCCCCGTGGCGTAAATCTGTGTGGAGAATCCAGTCGGCCGGCCGGCGCGCGACCCCAAGAGAGAGCGAGTGCGCGCGCGCGAAGAGCTGTTCCACCCCCCCCGCGTGGGTCACTTTCAGGTCCGCTCCAGCTTTCCCGCTTCTTCTTTGGACTCCCCTCCTCCGCCCCTCCCCCTCTTTCTCGGTCCTCGCGCGCGCCTCCGGCCCTCTGCTCGCCCTCCCACATAGACGGGCCCTGTGTTGTATGTCGCGATGCGCGGTCTTTTTTTTTTTCAAACTACACACACGCACTCCTGAAGAGAAGATAGGGACGGTTTCTTGAGACTCAGTTCTCGCATGCACGGACTGTTTCTTTATTCTGTCCCTGTCCTCCTCGTAAGCGCAAAGTGGCCCTCCGTCTCACACTCTTTTTTTTTTTTGCCTCACGCTACCCCTGCGAGGTAGGCAAGGCTGACTGAGGGTGCCGTTCAGGATCTACGACCAGTGAAGTGTCCTCATCCTGGATCTCCCAAGGACATACGCCCATCAGCTGCAGCCAGTCGAGTAAAAAAAAATGGTCAGGGCTGATGGGAGTTGTAGTAAAAAAAATCTGGAGGGTACCAGATTGGAGAAGGCAGGATTCCTTCAGTTCAGAAGTTGGTGCTTGTCATTATGCATGGAGCAGGGCTTCAGGTGTGCCTAAACGAAATGGAATTACAGTATCTGAAAAGGGAGAAATAGGGAAAGTTATTCTTTTTTATTTTGTTTACTGTAGCAACTGCAAGGCTGATGGTCTAATTCAAACAGGATGTGCTAAGGCCTGTGGAACTTCTACCCTAAATAAATAAATAAATAAATAATTCAGAACAAGATGTGCTAAGGCATGTGGAACTTCTACCTAGTGGCATATGGGTGAATTTTGAAGTACATGTGCTCATTTTGACTCATTTTGTGATTACATTTATATTAAATGTAATGCTGCATGGAATGTTGTTATAAGACATCATTTGTCCTGTTAGCATGCCCCAAGCAAAGTCAAAATATCTGTATCTTTGTCTAGACATCTGAGCAGGACTGCTAACAGAACAAGAGCTTTTAGAGGTGGTTAATTTATAAGGTTATCATTAGATTAGATTAGGCATCCTTCAGTCTCGAGAGACTATAGTATCATGCTCTGTATGGAGGACTTGGAACAGCGTCTAGTGTGACTGAGAAGGCCAGTTTGCAGAAGTAATGCATGTAGTATATTCCGTGATTCTTCAAAGAATCTGTCACCTTTATATCTTTTCTGTATCAATCTTCAGTACAGTACAGTATACTGTTTCCACCTTCTCTTTATAGTACAGTATTTGATTTTGGTCAGATAGTGCGCTTCCCTGTTGGTCTTTCAGCATTCCTAATGTAGGCTTAAATTTCCCTTTGATTTCTTGGATCTTCTGGAAGGGGTCTCTTGTTTTTCTTCTTTTGTTCTCGTTTTGTTTTTTGGTTTTTTTGCACTGGTTATTGTAATAGTTATCTTTGTCTCAATGTGACAGTTGTTGAAAAACTGCATTCAGGTTTCTGGCCTTATTTCTGTCTCTTTTGCTTGTTGCCTGTCCTTTACTATTTTAAGTGTTTTTTTCCATCATCCATGTAGATTTTTCTTTTCTTTTTACTGCAGAGATTAACTTTTTGTATTCTTCTCTAATAATATATCTGGTTTTGATCCACAGTTCTTCTGGTCTGTAGTCAGCTGAGTTTAGTAATGCAAATCTGTTCTTTATATGGATTTTAAATTCATCAGGAATGTTTAAATTATATTTTGGCACTACAATTCTTTTAATGTTTGTTTTCAGCATTATTCTAATGTTGGATAGCAGTTCATGATCAGTACCACAATCTGCTCCTGGTGTTCTTTGGCAGAGAGAATACAGCTTCTCCACTTCTTGTTTCCAATTACATAGTCTATGATTTCTATTTTGACCATCTGGCGGTGTCCACGTGTGCAGTTATCTGTTTGCTTGTTTTGAGCACACAAAAGAATTTCAGCCTATGATTATAGCAAAGCCTTTGACTGGGTGAATCATGAGAAACTATGGCCTGTTCTGAAAGAAATGGATGTACCGCAGCACTTGATTATCCTAATGCATAACCTGTATTGCGGTCAAGCAGTTCCTGTTAGGACAGAATATTGGGAGACAGAATGGTTTCCTGTAGGCAAAAGTGTGAGACAGAAGTGTTTTTTTCCCCTCTTTATTTGTTCAATCTATATGCAGAATATATTCAGAAACTTAACTAGATTCTGATACACCATGTATGTATTAAGTTTTTTATTTGTGAGTTTTGTATTTTTTCTGTATTTTTTAGAGTCAATAAAAATGTTTTTTTAAAAAGTCTTGAACTTGCTTGGAATTTCTTGAGATTTCTGGAGCGGTAGTTGCAGACCTTGGGTAACCTAGGTGTACCTCGACTGCAATTTCCAGAAACCTTCACCACCACTTGACAGGTTGTGATAGCTAAACAGAATGTCTGTATGGGATGCCATAGAATGCATACAGATCATGTGATCATCTTCACTGTCAGTTTATGAGCATCCAAAAGCTGGCTGTTATTGAAGACAGGATGCTGAGCTAGACTGATATGATTCATGAATGTGTTTTTTATGCTTCTTATAAAACATCAGTATTTCCATTCTTAGGTCCATAGTGTCAGAGAAGTCTGAACTTAGATGAGCCATGAATATTGCACTCCATGACCTGTTGGCTTGCTGCCGTCAGCTTGATAGTGACAAGGCGATGGAACGGAAGGTAATCATAACCTGACACTGTTCTGTTTTACAACAATATGAAAGATTTGGTGCAAACATGTATATATTGGACAGATAACTGAGATAAGGGTGGTAATTGTGCCTAATTATTTTCTGCACTAAATATTTAGAAGGAAATTGAAAAATTCAAGCGTCTACTCCGCGACTCTGAGACAATTCAGCAGCTGGACCAGAGTTCTGATTCCCGTCATGGAAAACAACTGAACTGGGATAGTGTATTCAGGTAAAATATTGTGTATTACAGTTTCTTAGCTACGAAGTAGCCAATATAAATTGTTCCATCAAAATACTGTTTCATCCTAACTAGTTATGAACAATTTTTGAAGATGGCCTATATTTTGGTTCAATCATCAATCCAAATGAAGACTACAGCCAAGAAATCAAAACAAAACTGAGATTTAGAAAAGCAACATATGAAGGAATTAGAAAAGATCCTTAAGTAAAAGGATGCATTTTTTGTCTTGTCAGAGCCAGGTTCATCCATGCTGATTATTGGATAGCAAAAGCTGTCAGTGAAGAAACTGATAGGAAGAAAAATTTGAAATGAGATGTTGGAGGGGGATTTTATGAATACCACAGAGCACCTGGAAAACGAGTAGTGGGTTGTAGGTTATATCGAGGTGCAATTCTCACTAAAAGCTAAGACAAATATTCTACTAAATAAAGGATTTCACAGCATGGACAGATCATGAGAAAACAAGATTCACTGGGAAAAGGTTATACTGGGAAAAGGTGAAAGCAGTAGGAAAAGAGGGAGACCTCACATGAGATAGGTGATTGAACAAAAGAATCCACATCCTTGAGTTTGTGAGAACTGACTAGAGCTGTTAATTTCTGGACCTTTTGTAGGCCATTAATTCATAGCATTGCTGTCAATCAGAAATAACTTGGTATCATGTAATAACATAGGAAAGTGAGAAACAGTATGACTAATTTTTGTTTTTATGTTCATGTGAATGACAAGCAGATGATATTAATGCAGAAGAGCTTGACTTATAAAGAATGCCTGAGATAGTCTATATGCCTATTGAGTGTTAATTTTATCTTTGAAGGTTTCTGCAGAAATACATAAAGAAAGAAACAGAGAGTGTCAGATTAGCAAAGCCAAATGTCTCTGCCTCGACACAAGCAACAAGACAGAAAAAAATGCAGGAGATCAGCAGTTTGGTCAAGTATTTCATCAGATGTGCTAATAAAAGTGAGTGGTGTTTGTGTAAATAATTAATTGTAAAGAATGCTTGCTGAGATAAAGTTTTTTAGGTCTATAATATAATATTTGCCTACTTTTAAAGAAGTGTTATAATCTTTGGTTGTTTTCTGGAAGGCATGAGACTCCTTTTCTCCAAAGTCTACACCCTATTTTGGGCAGGATAAAAATTGTTTTATAGAAACATAGATGTTTACCTCTATATATTTAAATTTATTCTCTTGACAGCAAAAGATTTAGGGACTTTTTGACTAAAGCTTTCTCTTGTCTTCCTTCTGTAGAAGATAATTCATGAAAGGATGCTTGTCATAATTGTTGTGTGTTCAAAATCTGTTTGGTTTTGAAGGATGATCAGTAGACAAAAGTGGGTAGAAAGTTCTGTAAACCAGATTTCCTAGAAAATTCACGTGGATTCTGTAGTCTCATTTTCAAGATCTCCTAGTTCTTGTTGGTTTAGACAGGCAATAAGATGATATCCTACCTTCTTAAACATCCCACTCCTCTCAGTATGCAGGCAGCACATCCTGGGCATTATACAGTATTTCATATCAGTAAAATAGCATTGTGGATATTGCTTGATGGTAGGGGAAATGCTTCTGCAGTCTCTACAGTTTTATAGTATTCTTATAAAGCAACCACAGTGAAGATTGGCCAGAGTCTTTATTGAAAATGGAGAGAATGGGAGTTGGAACACAAAGAGTACTTTGTGAATTCATGTTCTCCCTAAACTTCGTCTTCCTGAAGTACATATCTGTATGAACAACTAATGTTATTCTTTCAAGATCAAGAATTGTTTTGCTCTTTAATATTTCTGTAATATTTTTCTTCTGAAACAATGTACAGCTAAAACATCCATTTGTATTCTTCGTTTTTCCACAGGAGCACCAAGATTAAAATGTCAAGAGCTTCTCATGTATATTATGGATACAGTAAATGATCCATCAAGTTATGCTGCTTATGGGTCTGATTGTAGTAGCATCTTGCTAAAGGACATTCTTACAGTGAGGAAATACTGGTGTGAAATATCTTCACAGCAGTGGTCAGGTTAGTAGATGTCACTCATCTCTCATTGAAGCTGCAGTCATATAATGGTAGTTTGGGAAAGAACCAACTGAAGCCATGCTTAATTCTGGAGATGGCTGAGTGCACAGTGTAGTCTGCAGCCCTGATTAGGCGTCCTTCAGCCTTGAGAGACTATGGTAACGTGCTCTGAATAGTGGACTTGGAACAGTGTCTAGTGTGGCTGAGAAGGCCAATTCGAGAGTGACAACCCCTTCCACAATCCTGTGCACTGCAGTCTGTAGTCCTATGCACAGATGTTTTATGGCAAGTTCCTAAAACTTTGTCAAATAATTTGAATTTGGTTTTTTATTCTAGATCTCCAAACCCTGTACTTTAGATTGTTCCTCAAACCTTCCAGAGATACTAATAAAGTTTTGGTGGCAAGAATAATTTACACTCTCACCAGAGGACTGTACTTTCAAACTGATGGGCTAAATTCTAGTATTTTTAACTTCTTCTCAAAAGCTGTGCAATGTGCAAGGTAAATATCTTATTTTCCTCTATCAAATTCAGCAATTTGGAATACATGGAAAACCTTTTAATAGATTTCTTTTTTTTAAAAAAATGATTTAAAGCTCTTATTTTCATAGTTTAATAATTTTTTTTTAAGTCTGGTTCAACAGCACAAATACACACAGCAAAGTAAAGAGGGTTGTGTGAAGCAAGAAAAGGAGGCCATAGAGTCTGAGGGAAGGCCAAATGTTAATAATAACTCATCAGTATGGCAGATATTGTTAAAAACAAAAAAGTCAAGCACACAGTGGTATGAACACATCAAATAAATGATTAGAAAGCATTGCAGAAAATAAGCTGTATGTTTACAGTACAGGCGTACCTCAGTTTATGAAATTAATGTGTCCTCCGGGACGTTACAGCATGTGGAAATTTCGTAAACCGATATGTGGATTGCGCTAGGAATGGAGGCGGCACTAGAAATCTGCAGGCACAATGTGGCCTAGGGAAACCCTTTCGTACAGCAGGGGAAAAAAAAAGAAAACGCAAACCGGGACATTATTTTCTATAGCTTTCGGTTCATAAGCCAAAAATTATGTAAACCGAGGCTTTCGTAAAGCGAGGTACCGCTGTAGTAACTTCTTTAATCCATTGGCAGAATTCCATTAGTGACCAGTAACTAGAGTAAGCCCATTGACTCAGTGGGCCTGCTTTTGTTGCAGCTTACTACTGGATTTCAGCCATTAAATTTAGGAATTGGGGACGTGTCCTTCTACTCTACACATGTCTTGTGGTGAGTCAGAGTGCTCCTGCTGGCCTTCAGATGGATCTTGAAACAGTGAAATATAATTTCATAGTCAGAAAAGTTGCAGTTTGTCTCTAGAACAAGGCTTATAACAGCCTAGTCTACAAAGGAGGGTATAGGTCAATGCTTCAAGTGAGGACTGTATCACCAACATAGGTCTTTCTTTAAAAGATGTGGAGCGGTCGAGAAGCCATTGAATGACCAAATGAGGCGAATATAATTTTTCATTTTATTCTCGTGTGATAGTGTTTCCTGTTTGACTTTTCAGTTTGGGGCTTCAGCTCCCAGAAGCCCCAGAGAGCAGAGCCAATACTCATATTTTGGAAATGGAAACTGAGATGTCTTGACTTTCTTGGTCTTTTGCTTACCTATTCCTTTGTTTAATCTTAAACTCAATTAATTGAATGGATTTTAATTGTTGAATTTATTTTAAATGTTTTCTGCATCTCATTCTAGAACCTTTCAATATTTGAGTGACTTATTCTTTACTTGCTGGAGAGCATTTTGATTACCTGAACTTCACATTGACACTATTAAAAATACACTCCTCTGATTTCGTTATTGTACTAGCTGCGTAGGCTTACCTTAGTTATTCTTGCATAGACTGAAGGGGGTGATCATGCAGTCGTGCATCAGGTAGTATATTGACAAAATCGCATAACTTCTCCCATTGACACTTTTTAGATGCAGCTATGCAAGTACATGTTTGCCCTTTTCTCTAGACATTGTTTAGGCTTCAGATCTGCTTCATGAAATAGAAAATGCTTATATGGTAGAAAGCTTCTGCTTAAGGTTCTATTTATCATTATCTCTGCAGTTTCAATATATATTACACTTTAATGAGTGCATTAATCCCAGCCTACTAGCTTTATAATGCAGCTTTCTTCTCACAGTAACTGTAGACTATAGCTTCAATTTCAAAAGTGTAGGTGGGGAGAAAACAGTATCTTGCACTCCTTGTGAGGGAGGGGGCCAAGATAGTAAATGAAATAAATAATGCAACCTGAGTTTAATGCAGAGTAATAATTAAAATATCCATTTAAATGTCTGAAAATATATAATCGTTGTATTACAGGCAAGAAAGGAGCTCTGCAGGCCTTGAATACATATTTGCAGCCATGAATGTTTTTTTCAGTGTCTTTGCGGTGAGCTACCGTATACGGATCTGTAGGCTTGGAGAAGAGCTTTTACCAACTGTGCTTTATATATGGACTCAATACAGACCAAAAGATTCCCTGAAGGACCAAATCATTCAACTAGTTCAGCTTCAGGTTCAGATTCATCATCCAAATGGGGCTAAAACCCAGGAAGAAGGTATGCACAAAACCTTTTACATCTGATTGTCAAGACCAGTGGTTCTTAACCTTTTTGAAAGAAATGCCCCCTTGAGCCATTGAGGAAGTTATCATCGCCCCCTACCTGAGGTGATGATATCTTACCTACCTACCTACCTACCTACCTACCTACCTACCTACCTACCTACCTACCTACCTACCTACCTACCTACCTACCTACCTACCTACCTACCTACCTACCTACCTACCTACCTACCTACCTACCTACCTACCTACCTACCTACCTACCTACCTACCTACCTACCTACCTACCTACCTACCTACCTACCTACCTACCTACCTACCTACCTACCTACCTACCTACCTACCTACCTACCTACCTACCTACCTACCTACCTACCTACCTACCGCCCCCCTGAAAAATGAAATCGCCCCCTGGGGGCCATTATTGCCCACGTTAAGAACCACTGGTCAAGACAACTGCTGTTTTGAGCGGTTGAATTCATTGAATTCTGACTCCTCAGGTTGAGAGTGTTCCGCAATCCAAAGTAATTTTTCACTGGCTGAAATCCATTGCTTAACATAGTAAATCACAACTAGCATAGACTGATTAACTCGGTGAGGATTTGATGAGTCAAGTCCTGTGTACGTTCCATTGATTGAATAAGATTACTCTAGTTGTATCTTACTTCTCTAAATAACAGGATTTAAGCCGTAGTGTCTTTTCTTGCTTATGTATCCTGATACTTATTTACTTTATCCATTGCTTTTCTGCATTACTGTATTAGAATTCTACATATTGTTCACTGTTCATAAACCTTTAAGCAGGCCTTTTTGTTTTATATTTTGGACAGGTGGCCTTTAAGTTAAATGAAAATTAAGTTCTCTTATTCTTGTGTAAACAGGAATCTGTGACTCAGGAAAATGGCAGAGTATTTTATACAGCCTGTATGATCTACTAGCAAATGAAATAAATCTCATTGGCAGTAGAGGGAAGTATTCTTCCGGATCACGCAGTATTGCTCTGAAAGAAAACCTGGTGGAGTTAATGGCTGATGTTTGCCATCAGGTAAACCATTGCATTTGCATAAACTATTCCATGCAAATATAAGACTGTCTTTTCCCATATGGATATAGTGCTTCACCATGGCAGGATGCTTGTAGGTCAAGCAGTGTCCCTCTCCCTGTGTGAATGTATAGGCTTGCCTTTTGGTATCTGACCAGAACACTCAAGGGAATTGGAGGCTTCTGCACATTTGCTGTATTCTCTTCTACATGGTCCAGTAATTTTAGCTTCAAGGAATGTTAATGTTTTCCAAATACATTGTCGATTAATTCTATTTATATGCAATAGCATAGTGTGCCTCTTTGGTTGAGTTTGATTTGTTGTGTATTAAGGTCTTCACAGAAGGTACTAAAGTCCTGGAGATTAGTCACTCGTATGCTGTTACGCAGAGAGAGGGAGGAGATGGAGAAGGGCCATCCAAACGCAGGAGAATTGAATTGGGTTGGCAAGTGATTCGGGACGTACTGCAAAGATCACAGAAGGACTTTGATGTCATACCCTGGTAAGGAAATAAAATTCTTCATTCTGGTTTCTCACTGAAAAGAAAGCAGCAATTTATCACAAGCTTTTAACGATTGATCTGTTTTTCATCAAGGTTGCAGGTTGCAGCCAGGTTAGTGGCAAAGTACCCTATGAGCCTCCCACACGAGGAGCTGCATCTCTTGCTTAATATACTTTACCAGCTACTACCTCAGCAGCGTCGAGGAGAACGGGCACCTTATGTGTTGAGATGTCTTAAAGCGATGGCATTGTGTCAAAGCCAAAAAATAGATTTGGAAACGTCACAGAAGTTAGAGCTACAGCGAACATGGTCCAAAATTTGGTCTCTTGTTGTTCGAAGTCTAACTCTTCAACATACGGAGGCAGAGAGTTTTGCATTACTTGGAGTCATGATTCAAGGGAACCTAATCACAATAGATAGAGACATTTGGAAGATGTTTTCAGGATCTGCGTGTAAGCCCTCAAGGTAACATAGAACGTTTTTTTAACCAACATCTTCATGCACTAATAGAAATGTTATATAGAATACAATTCAAACAGATTCCATCAGTGCCACCGAGAATGTGTATTTGTTTAGCATTGTATTTCCTTTTTTGCAACAAGTGTGTTCTCTTGTCTATAAATGTGTTGCAATCTTACAAATGTTTTGTAATCTTACTATCTTAATAATAGAATCCTATCTACTGCAGGTTGAATACAGAGGAAAGCTAGCAGATTTGGGATGAAACAGTTTTCAGAAATTCAGGGAGCCCTGTTGAATTGTGAGGGCACTGTAGGGAAATGAGGAATTGCTAAAAATTGGGTAAATACATTTTACACAACTGGGAGCTCCCAGCCATGAAAAGTGCCTTCTTCCAGTTTTTGGAAATACTCTAAGCCACAGCTTGCCTTGTTCAGCAGAGTCCAAGTGGGGAAGTGTTTCTATCCACCCCTGTGTTGGTTGTCATGTTTTAGTTAAAATGATGTAAACACTTCTAATAGATTTGGAAGAGGTAGCTGTGTTGGGCTGTGCAATCATAATCAGTTTTTTTGTGGGTGAGCAAGAGTATACCTTAGCTGTAACACTTATTTTGCATTCAAAATTAGTTTACATTAAAAGCAAGTTATCTCAGATCTTCCTTTTTCCTAAATGCACTTTTGTTTTCCTCCCTCAAATTTGAAGTGTAATATTAAAAATATCCTTTATCTTCTATACAAATAATATTCCAGATCTGCAAATTGGCTATTGACTGGGTGACAGGACAAAGAAAATGTTTCTGCTTTTTAAACCATGGTTTAAGAGATCAGAAAGAGAATAGGACTGCGGTGTATATGTGGTGCCTGTCCTCTTTCCATTAATTCTAAACATGGTTAAGAGAATATGTCGGCACCTAGTTTGACCATGGCTACTTGTAGTTAGAGTCCCTGTTATCTATATTTTGTGAATCCAAATTAAATTTTGGTTAAAGTAGCAGTACTGGATAGTTGAAGGCATAGTATAGATTGCAAGCTTCAGGCCATTCAGAAGAATATGAGGGAAATCTAGTATCAGTGATGGCAGAGCATGTAAAAAATGTTCCTGAATGGGAATTTTATGTCTACGGAGGACTTGCAAAATTTAGATAGTAATCTTACACAAGTTATCTTCTATAGATCTGCAGCACAGTTCTTGACTTCAGCAATTACAGCTTTGGAAGTGCCAGAGACTTTGCAAAATGGGACAGTGCAGAGTAACTGTGAAGTGCATACGTTAAAAGAAACAATTGTGAAGTGGCTTCTGTTCTGCCACAGTGAGGAAACTATAGAAGACAGTGCAGAGCTGCCTCCTGTTCTATGCAGGTACCAAACTGAGATATGAACAATTTTTCATTTAAAAAAAAAATAACACTTATATAATATTGTTGGATTTGAGCAAAAGGTCTAATTGGAACTATTTTTGGAGCTGTATGATGTATATGTATGCAGTATGATAACTTTATTAAACTAGAGAAAAAATCGATTTTGCTAGTATTTAGGGAAAACATGTTTGTCACAGTTGCTACCTCCCAGCAGTCCAAACGCAAGGTGCTCTTCTGCTATCCTGTAGTTTGTAGGTCTTTCTACAGAAAGGCTGCAAATATGATATTCATGAGGAAGAAAGAGACCTAATACGCTGTTTATAAAAATTACTTTGTAATATTTTAACATGTTTTATTTTTCTTTACTTGGTAGAGATTAGTGGGTTTGTTGTATTAAGGAATGTCTGCTTTAAAAACTTTTGTTTGAAACTCTTTATAGTGACTTTCCTAAACTGGAGTTGCAGAAAATCCTTGTAAGTCTCACGATGAAAAATTCTAGATCAGCAATGAAATTTTTCTGCAATGTGTCTGAATGGTATGTATGTTTCAGACATCAGTCTTAATAATGGTTTATATTTATTTGTTTGGGTAATCTGTTTAGAATTAAATTTGAATTCCGCAGGCTGTGAGTAAAGTTTCATTTTATGGATTGGGCTTGCTCACCCTAGCTGAAATCTTGTTGTTCAGTATAATAAGTTGCAAGTAGAGAAGCCCCGTTGAATCAGCCGGGATTTGGTGAGTCAGCTGCATCGGTTCAGTGGACCTACTCTAGAAAAAACTTGTAAGGAGATGCCAAGTTTAAGATACTTATTTGGATCCAATCTGTAACTTTTGAATTAAAAGGGATGTTATTTTCCTGCTGTTTCTCCATATGCATGTGATTGTGTTTGGCATTCACAGTGTTTAAAGTTGGGACTGGCTTGATAGAAATTTGTGTGAAATGCACTCTTGTGCTAGTGGTTTGATGCTTAAAGAATTTTAGGTACAGACTGTTTTTTATTTTATTATGCTTTCACAGAATGCGGCGGCCAGACTCCTTACCGGAGTGAGAAAATACCAACACATTTCTCCAACGCTGGCCGCATTGCATTGGCTGCCCATCCGTTTCCACCTCAACTTCAAAGTTTTAATGCTTACTTACAAGGCCCTAAACGGTTTAGGACCTCGATACTTGGTGGAACGCCTGCTCCCACTTAGGTCTACCCGGATCACCCGAGCGAGTCAGGAGGTGAGGCTGAGGAGCCTGACGCCGAGAGAGGCCCGGAAAGAGAAGACGCGAAACCGGGCCTTCTCGGCAGTGGCTCCTCGCCTATGGAACAACCTCCCTCCGGAGATTCGCGCGGCCCCTACGCTGTGTGTTTTCAAAACCCAATTTAAAACATGGCTATATATCCAGGCCTTCCCTCCAGCCAATCCCTGAATTCTTTTTCTAATTTTCCTTATATTATTTTCTTTATTTTATTGTGATTGTAATTGTATTTCATGTCTGTGCACATTTTGTATTTTAATTGTATTTTATTCTTACTTTATATTGGATGCCGCCTAGAGTGGTCTGGTAGTCCAGATAGGCGGGGTATAAATCAAATCAAATCAATCAATCAATCAATCAATCAATCAATCAATCAATCAATCAATCAATCAATCAATCAATCAATCAATAATTAATAATAATAATAAATATTTTCAGAACAGTAGAGAACTAGGATTAAAGTTTTGATTCTTTTGTGTTTAGTTTTAAAACACCATTTAGTAATCTGTTTATTTATATGATTAAGTCTGCAGCATGCAAAAGATAAAGAAGAAGCCAGTCTTTCAGAAATAGAAGCAGTCTGTGTACAGACAATGTTTAATGACATTAATATATTTATAAGCATGACAAAAGATACATCTGAAAACAAACCACCACTTCCCAGACTAATTGTCAATCAGAAACTCAAAGAAGCCTTAGAGAATGATCTCCTGGTGATGTCTGAAAAACTTCTTAGTAGTTTTTCTCTTGAGGTGAGTTGAAAAGGAAAATTGAGATACGTGTTCCTTACTTATGAAAGGTTGTTCAGAGTACATCCTTTTCAATTTGTGTTTGTCAGTAACCATATTTTCTGTGTAATCAGTAAAATAGATGGGAGATACGTTTTCACTTAGTTCTGAAATATGTTTTTGAGATCACCCCGGTTTGTGTATACACCTAGGAAGAGATTGCAGTACTGTGATGGAGGCATGGTGTAAAATCCCACTCTTTTGCAACCTAAGAAATACCATGAGCCAGATTCTTTCCGTGAGAAAACCCTCTTGTGGGGAGACCTCATTTGGATCATGGTCTTGCACATTTGAAGCAGAAGAAGCAAGCAATTTGGATTTCTGCCCAAAGTGAAGCCCTTGCTCACATTGCAGGCCATCAGAATGATAGAACCGAAAAGCTTGTACTGCCTTCATGTGCTTTTGCAGTACTTCTGTTGTATGAACTGTACAGCAAGCTTCAAGAATAACTTTCGAAAGGTTACAAACAGTTTTTTGAGAAAATCTTGGCTGTGTAGATCTAGGTATTTTCTCAGGATTATGTGTGTGGATTTGGCTAATTCCCATAATCATTATGCACAAGCCTCCACTGTTGTTGTTTTTTTAAAATTAATTTCATTACAATATTTTTATGTTTGTAAGTTTATAGTTCAGCCTGGTCCTACTTCAGACATATTCATATGCAGCTCTTCTTGTGTCACACAGGCACTCAATAATTAACACCTTGCAAGAAGCCTGTGCTTGCCCCCCTTGTCTGGCCTTTTGGTGTTCCCTCCTGGCAAAGTGCTTGTGAACAGAGAAGTAAAGTAGGAGGGTGTTAGACCATAGTGTCTGTCCACATAAGGATGTTGTTTCCTCAGTAAGATTCAGCTGAGCCCCTGACATTTGTATCCTACTTCTCTCTGGTTCAAATCATCACATAGCAAAAAGACTCCACAGTTAAAAAAAAAAAGCAGAGTCACCAGGCGAACCAGTAAATTCAAATTCTTCCTTAACAGAGCCGCAATACAAACAGATTGAGCACTGGCTTCAGCTGAAGCCTGGCTTCTGCCCCAGGTCAGCCTGCTTTGGACAAATGAGTACGGTAAATTGTGGCATGGGCAGATACAGTTCTGGGGCAAAACAAAAGGATCAGGAGCATGTTCAATAAATCTAGAGATTTAAACATCTAAATTAATGAACAAGACAGACCCTGCATCTCCAACAAGATAATATAA